TGAAAAAATTCGATTAAATCAAATTATTTCAAAACCGAGCCGAAATAATTTGGTTACAAACCGAATTAACCGAATTAATTTTGGTTCGGTTTTGGTTTTTATTTTTCCTACTTTGCTTAATCGAAAATCGAACCGAATTATGCTTAATTGAACCATTGAACCGAATGCTCGTTCCTAATTTTTGCCATAAACCAAGGGAAAACAAAAGGAAACAAGGACTCGGTAAAATATTGAGGGGGTTTTAAGGGAGCTCATTTTTGGACTTGAGTTACGCAAATCATGCCAAGAATGTAGAAAAGAAGAAGAAGCAATTATTGAAAAAATAAAAAACATGTAAGAAATATTTTTTTAATGTGATCAATTTGTTTTAAATTAATAAATTAATATTATATTTTATCATATAATATTGGTAATAGACAACTATCCAACTAATTTAGCCAATTTTATATTCATTTTTTTTTAAAAAAATTACTTTTTATCAAGAGGGTTGAATTGAGCGGAAAAAACTCTAGTTGTATAAGTAGTTTTGGTATCCAATCTTTATGTACACATAAATTTTTTTGGATAATTGTGTCTGTCTTATTCATTCGACCAAATAACAAGATATTAGTCTAAATTTTTAAACATGAGATATTATTGAGATCCAAAAAAAAAAAAAAAAAAAATTCTTTCTTCCATATTCGGCTGATACCCATTTACCGGTATTATTTTTTTAGAATTTGTAAAAATTCATAAAATTAGAAATCCAACTAAAATAGAAAAACTGAGAAATACCATTAAATAATGGGAGTCAAACTACTCATAGAAAAATACCTTAGCCAAATAGCATATACCTTTTTATTTTACCTCTGAGATGAAAGTGAGAGCAACTCTAATCATGCATGGCCTAGTCTCTAAGCATTTACTGATAATTTTCAAGATCTTTAATTATCTTGTGCTGGTGTTAATAAATGCAAGTGTAATATTTGTTGAGCTATTTAGATATAGTTTAGTGGTGGCAAATTAATCATATTAGCTTATTGAAATCAAAAGATGGAGACTAGAGTCATGTATGGATAAGATCAAGAAAAAGAAAAATGGCAGTCGCATTCATTTCCAATTTTGCTTCTGAGTGACATGGGTTTTCTCATTATTTGTCATTTTAAGAGTTTTAATCTCAAACTTAAAGGGCTGGCTAACCAACATTTTTAGAGCATTTTATTATTTATTTATTGGAGGTTTTTAGGCATTTAAATTAAATAATAAAAGATACCCCTCTTTCATTATATAATTATTAAAAAAATTTAAAATAATCAAACTCAAACCTTGTTTCGTTAAAAAAACTAACACACAATTGACTAAACTAAATCTTTTTGGGTGAAGACGAGCACTTTATCATCTACAATTAATTGATAGGAAGGTGGAGCCCTATCTTAATTAGTATTCTTTTACCAAGTCATCATCCTTTTATGGCAATGGGACCAAAGTAATAATATTCTAAAACTTTATGATATTTCATAGTTTGGTAAAGAGCCTTAGCTTGCTACGTACCCCAAATATCAGAGAAAAGTCATTCATAATTTTGGCATAAAATGGCACCTAGCTAAGGATGTTCTTATTTTTTTGGGTAAGCCTGGTAAATGGCACGAGCAGATAAGACATGTTGTCGTTTACTTTACCATAAGATATCTCTCATTTTCTTTAGTCTAGGTGTCCGTGGTAGAAAGTGGTGAAGATATTTTGCGCTTTCTATCCTAGCATTGGATACCTATAAGATATTTTTTTTCTGATCATTAGAGGACACGTGACTTTGAACTACACCTCCTCCATTACATAATTATTACAGAAATTAAAGTTTTAACTCATAGCCATAAGATTAAACATTTCTTTATTTCACTTCCATTTTTATTACATCTCAGCACAGCAAAAGGCAGGAACAAAACACAGACTACTGTGTTTTTATCCTTTTAGGAGGGAAAAATGAAGAAAAGATGCACAGAGCAATACATAGGGCATGGACCTCAACAAGTCATCAACTATGTCCTTAGCCTCTTAGTCTACTTTCTTGTTTCCAGCCATCTCCAAGGGGAAATGAGGAGAACCCCAAGGGCATAAGACAACCTTATAGTTAGTCCCACCAGGGCATGTAAATGTGCTTGAAGGATCATCTTGGGGATAACCATAAGAAGTAGGGCATCTATCCTTAAAAAACCTTGAAAAATTGGTAGGACCACAGCTCCCATACCCATCAGTGCAACAATATTGATTAGTCTTAAACACAATACAAGGGTTATTACACTCAATCAAAAATAATTTTAAGTTTAGTGATAATGATCTCTTATAATGTCATGAATTTAAATACTTACATATTATTTCTACTAAAAGTTTTGATGAGGTTATTACACCCACCAGGAGTCCTCAATTCATAAGGCCATTATTATCTGCTGCGCAAAGAAGTGCTTGACACTTTCCTCCACCAGCTGATGTTGGGCTAAACTCCATAGGGATATTGTTTAGAAACATAACCATTTAACATAACACTTATTTGTAATCATCTTTTAAATATTCAATTTTTATTCCTTTTCTGTTTTAACAAAATCCCATAATAAACATAGAGTAATAAATATATTTACATAATGTTTAGCTGACGCAATTATTAACTTAGGCTCAACATTAATTGACTTTTTTTCATCAAGTCCTCATAATTATAATTTTAAATTGTATATGATTGAAAAAATAATTATAGTCGTTATAATATGTATCGTGATTTATTGAAATACTAAAATAATAATAATAAAATATTTTAAAATCATTATATAATGATTATTATATAACATAACGGTTGTGATTTAAATGTATGTTCAGGTTATCAAATAAAAATATTATTTATTTAACGACTGTTTGCTTGTTTTTTTGTTTATTCAAAAAATGAGAATTCATTTGAACATAGAATAATTCATTTATGAGGTTAATTACACTAGCATTTTATGTCACGGGATTTGTCTATGGTATTCTGAAGTTTGGAGAAATGCAATCGGATTTGGAATCAATATTGATCCGGATAGAAAGTATGAAAAACACACTTCTTTTATTTTTTTCACTCGGCAAATACTCTTCATTATCTTTCTTTTCTTCTGTTTTAGGGAGCTGGCACCCTTCTGATCAACAGAGAAAGCCAAATAACCACCAAGAGGGGTGGCTCAGAATAAAGATTTAATATCAAGGGATTTATTCTTTTTGTAGTATCAAATTCAAGTCATGATTGTTCTTTTTAATAGCTATTAAAGACTTATATGATTATTAATTTGATGACTTATGAGATTAACCCAGATATATATAAGTTGATTTGAACATTCACGTTATAAAAAAAACAAAAAACAAAAAGGAAAGAGAGCCAAATATTTGATTTTTATTGTCGCGCCATGTTGATTTTTTAGTGTAGAAAAATTTGCCGTCTTTTTTATTTTTTTATATACATAGGTTTTGGATTTTACGTGAAGATAGATTCAACCCGACAAAACGCTACAGAAATCACCTTACAAAAGTCATCACACTTTTATGACGATGGGACAAAGCGATAATATTCCACAACTAAAAGTTTAGGATATTTCAGAGGTTAGTAGAGAGCCTTAGCTAGCCACGTACCCAAAAGATATGAGAAAAGTCATAAAAGGCACCTAGCTAAGGATATTCCTTCTTCTTCTTCTTTTTCCCAACATGGGGCGTATTTAGATTAATTTTTACTATTTTAAGATTAATTATATAGTTAAAAAGCTCCTTTTAACTCATGATATTAAGTATTATGAAAATAATTTTTCAAGAATACTTACTATAACCTAGCATACAAATTAATACTCATTCATGAGCGGCTTACCCCCTATTTTCTTTAGTGTAGGTGGCAGAAAGTGGTGAGTATAGGTTGTGCTTTATATATGTTCTAGCTTGGACCTTTAAGCAGATAAATATCAAAGAAATCTATCCTGGTATTTGACACCTCTAATACGATAGCATAACCAAGGAGATATTTTAGCAATTGATCAAATTGAGATTTTTGCATGGTTTTAGATAATTCCACTAGACGCAGCTCTCTCCTTTTGAATGAAAATTTCTGGTGGATTTGTCGATCTAAATAGAAGACAATATATTTTGATATTATTGATTATTTGTTTTATTTAAAGAATCATTCTATTTTAATTAAAAACATAAATCTAATATCATGTTAAAAGATTATCTCATTCAAAAATTTAAACTATTAGATAAGATGTCAAGATATAATTTATATTATTTTTTAACAATGTTTTTTTTTTTATGTTTTTTCGAGAATGAAAAAAATCTATATTGAAAAATTTATTTCACATTAAACAAATAAAATAATATATAAAGTTAAGAATGTATTATTAATTATTACAAAGTTTAAATTTTTTAAAAATAAAATTCACTCAGCTATCTAATGATATAAAAGCTCAAATAGATTTAATAATTTGATAAAAAATTTAAAATTCAAATCACTTGATAATTTTGAAAAATAGATTGTAAGTAAAAAATAGTATTAAAAAACTATGTCACATATGAAATAAAAAAATAATAAAATACATATAAAGTTGAGATTAAGTCATCTATTGTAAAATTTAATCTCACATATGTAACTTAATACTTTACGTCATTACATAATTCAAAGATCAGTGTTCTATGAAAATAAAAAATAAAAAACTTCAATCATGACATGGAGGATTACTCGACTTTTCCGTTCCTTCACTATACATGCATTGCATCTGCGATATAATATGTGGCAACTCGGTCATCAAATTAAAGTAAACTGATCATAGCCAAGTGATTAAACATTAATTCTTTATTTTACTTCCATTTTTCATTACATCTCAGCACAGTAACAGGCAGGAACAAAAACACTGACTAGTGTTTTTTATCCTTTTACTAGGAAAAAAGGAAGAAACAGAAGAAGATGCACAAAGCAATACATAGAGCATGGACCTCATCAAGTCATCAACTATGTCCTCAGTCCCTTACTCTACGTTCTTGTTTCCAGGCATCTCCAAGGGGAAATGAGGAGACCCCCTAGGGCAGAAGACAACCCTGTAGTTAGTCCCACCAGGGCATGTAAATGTGCTGGAAGGATCATCTTGGGGATAACTATAAGCAGTAGGGCATTTACCCTTAAAAAACCTTGAAAATTTGGTAGGACTACAGCTCCCTTGCCCCTGAGTGCAGCAATATTCATTAGTCTTAAACACAGTACAAGGGTTATTACACCCACCAGGAGTCCTCAATTCATTAGGACATTGGCCATTGATGTCTGCTGCACAAACAAGTGCTTGACACTTCCCTCCGCCACCTGATGTTGGGCCAAACTCCATAGGGATATTGAAGCCATCAACAAGTGATATGTCATAGAAATCCATGTTACCAAACTGGTTCAACGCATATTCAGCTAGAGTGTTAGGAGGGACACCCCAACCTTGGCACACTAGGCCACCGGTGCAATCCCCAGTTTGGCAGCGACCCCTACCACTACTATCAAAGTTACAGTTTGTCCTGCCCCAAATACGAGCCATGGATGTGCCAGCAGGCACGTTAAGCCTCCAAGTTTGGCCGCGGTCTAGGCGGCGTCCACCACCAGGTGAAGCTGCAGCCCACACAGTGTACTGGCAGTTGTTGCGGATGTCAAAGGTGGCTGCATTAGCAGAAATGAACAGAAGGCCAAAGAGGAGGGAGGAGGTGAAAAGTTTGGTTGAGTAGCCCATGGTTTGAGCAGTTAACGCTAGCTTCTTGTTAATTGGTGCTTGAATTCATGGCGTAAGTATGGTCTTTATATAGGGGAGGGGCGGCTTTTGGATTCCTATCCATTATGGGCAAGTGTCCAGATTTTTAGTTAAAAGTAGAGGCGGCTAGTGTACAGTTTCTGTAGTTAAAAGCAGAGGCTGCGTGATTGGCTAGATAGAAGGATTTTTTTTAACCCATCGGGTACCCGATAAGGAGCGACCCGACCCTGGTTGTTTCTTCTTTTTTAAATCATTTTTTATAAAAATAAAATCTAAGCTTAAAAACAAATGATATCTCTATCCATAAATTATGAAACTGTGTAGTGAAGTTTAAATTTTAAATTTAGAATAAAATAATAAAAACTATCCACCAATTATAGATAAAAATCTATATATTATATTAAAAATAAAATCACAACTTCAAAAGAAAAAAATAAAAAATCAGTTTAGAGCGGGTCGGGTGATGGAGCGAGTGAAACCCTCACCTGTCTCTGCATCCGGTTCTAATTAAATCAGATTGAATCTTACTCGTTTTATATCTAACTTTGATCAGAGTAGATAAAATTTCAATCTAATTGGATCAGATGATATCGGATGCTTAACAAATCGATTAGAATTTTCTGCTAGCTTGCTATATATACTATGAATAAAAAAAATGTTAGCCACTTTGCATACTAGCTAGGAAATGGATAAAGTTAAAATCTTTGAAAGATTGGAGTGTTCATTACTAAAAAAAACTAAAAATCGGGGATTGTTACTACTCGTATACTGTAACAATTTTCTTTTTTTTTTTTTTGCTCTGGGTTGAATGGCCTAGGTTGCCTGGTGCATAGGCGTGTCCTGGCAACGCTTCCCCCCCCCCCCGCGCGCGCGCGCGCGCGCAGCGAAACACACACACTCCGACCCTTATATATATATATATATATATATATATATATATATATATATATGTGTGTGTGTGTGTGTGTGTAGACGCGCGCGCATGTGTGTTATCATAAAATTAGGTGTGAAAAATATTAATACTAAAATAAATTGAACTAAAATTTACTTTATTAAAGTAAATTCTTGATTTGAACATTTACCTTAATTTTTTTTCTTAAAATAATTATGTGCTACCTTTCTTTTATATGAACTAATAAATTAAGTAACTAGGAAGCAAAATTAACCAACTTAGAAGTATTACTTATAAAGTAAAACGAGTGAAACTATCATGCGGTTGTACTCGTTTATTTAAACAATATAATTTATTTTTTTTTATTTTACCCTCAACTATACTACTCAATCTTAGTTTTTTTTTTCTTTTTTAATTTTCACTCTTACTTATTTTCTTAGTTAAAAATAAAAATAAATTATTATTATTATTATTTTAATTTTCACCCTTAGTTTTTTCCTTAGTTTTTTTTTTTAAATTTAAATTATTTCATTTTGATTCCTAAAATTCCTTAGTCGATGCACTATATATCTTTTTTTTCTTTGGTTTTTTTTGTTTTTCTCATCAATTTATATTCTTTTTTTATTTGATTGAGTGTTAAAATTTTTAAAAATTGATTGTTACTTTTTTCCACATAGGCTCATGATTTACTTTACCTTCACACTATACTACTCAATCTTACTCTTTTTTTCCTTCCTTTTTTTAAAAAATTTTCACTATTATATTTTTTCTTTTTTTCTTTTTTAAATTTTTACTCTTTTTTTTAAATTTATTTCTTCTTCAATTACTTGTTTCTTATTAAAATTATAATCAAATTAATTTTTTGATATACTTTTATTTGTCAATAAACTTAGTTATTTAATATATGAATTTTGGAATAAAATTGTAGAACATTGGTGTTTTTTTAAATATATTATTATAATTTATAAAATAAATTATTTTTATAGTTTTTAAATGAATTTTTTGTATTTTAAAAAAATTAATAATCGGTTAAAAAAGTCATAAGTTTTATTTGCTATTATATGCGTATTTATTCAAAATTTATCAAAATTAATTTTATTATAATTTTTATTTTAATCTATGACTTCAATATATTTCATATAATTTAGCGAGCTCTGGTCTTTTTTTTTCCTTCATATATATATTATCATGAAATTAGGTATAAAAAATATAGAAAATAAATCGTTATTTTTTTTTAATTTTGCATACGAGTTTGAAGATGATAGAATATATATGATATTTTTTAAGATTTTAGTTTGAATATATATATATATATATATATATATATATATATATATATATATATATATATCTTATTAAATTACTTTTATTGTTTAAAATTTATTTCTTCAATTATTTTTTTCTTATTAAAATTCTCATCAAATTAATTTTTTGATATAATTTTATTTATTAATAAATTTGATTATAATTAGTGCTTTTTTTAAAAAAGAAAAAAAGAAAAAGAAAAAAAAAGGATTGAGTGAGGAAATCAATTTATTATCAAGCACATTTACTAAATCTAATTAAAAGGGTCTTCCAATCAACCATAGGAATTTGTTTTGTAAGTAATTCAAGTGATCGAATCATCATCCACCATTAATCGCCATCGTTCTCTCAGTCATAGAAAAAAATTGTGTCATCAAGGTACATCATTCTGAAGTTCATAACCTTTTCAATTGCCAATGCTGAGCTTCTTAGTTTTTGTTATAGTTGGTTGCTTTTGGCTTTGTATGATCAAGAAAATGGGAGATTATTGCTTCTGAATCCAGTCACCAGAGAGTACAAGGAGTTTCCATGTTTTGAGTACGGACTTAATTTGTTATAATTATTCTGACAAGGACTATAAATTTGTGTAAGTGGGATCTTTGTAAGGAACATACATAAACAATTTTCCACTGTTTTTTGAAACGAATTCATGGAGGAGCATCTCCATGCCTAATTGGTTTAGTAGTGTTTACTGCCATGGGGATTCACTGAAAGGAATTCTGCATTGCGTTTTCCATGGAAAAAGGAATCCTTATTATTATTTTTTTTTCAAAGATGCTAGCACATCAAGAAAGGAAACCTCCTGAAGAACATACATATCAAAGCACTAAACAAAACAAGAAATAAAAAGCTTTTCTCTTTTCAAGTTTCACAATAGTTTTGCTTCTATTTAATTTGTTCATAAGTTATGCTAACATTACCCATAGACTAGACCTATCGCATACACCCAACAAATAACAGCCAACAAGAATTTTTTTCATCTACAATACTGAAGGATACTACTACTTTTTCAGATGAAGCCTGTAACTCGAGCTGTCTTTTCGGATCAGTTTTCAAAGGAATATGGTAGAACTGCAACTTTCTATGCAACTTTGTTGGCCTCATTCCCGGCACAATGAACTAGTTATCTACCATGTGGATGATAAATCATCTAATGGACTCTTATGGGATTCAAAGAGGTGAAGGATATGAGCAGGGAAACATATATATGCAGAGAGTTCAATCCCTCTTAATGGTGACTGCTGGCGCAATAGAGGCTACATCCCCTCCTCCATTAATCACAGTAAAGAGATGAAAAATGAAGAATAAATTAGACTGTCGAGTTGTTTCTTGTCACGAGTATCTTCAATGGTATGGTATCAGTATCATTTCTTTAAGACCTGTTAATTACAACTCAAAAGTTCTCTAGGAGATAGTTTATTCTTATGAATAGGCTTCTGCTAGCTTTAAGAAATTGATATAATAGAAGAAACAATAGGAAAATACAGCTTAAGCTGATTAAATTCTCGGTCCTTATTTAAAAATAATTTTGTCCTCTAATTTTTGATACATGCAATTCAGTCCTTGAATCAGAAAACTGTTTGCAATTAAGCCTTTAGTTGGTGGTTCCATTCTCTCCTACCTCTAGAAAGAAATAAAAGATACTCTTTAATTAGCAGGTTCCTATCAATCTGCCCCCCTTCACACTCGTGAATGATCTGCACATAAATTCATTTCCAGAGTCAACCCAACCTCAGAAAGAAGACAAACCATTATTGAACCACCAAGTGAATGTCAACAGACCAGTCTCATCATTGCTTCCTGCAGTTTACTAAACAGCTTATCACAGACTTGAAAATATGATTGAATATAATGTATAATTGATCATCTCTAGTTATACCATGCTTATCCGCACATATTTCTGCACAAACTCCCATTCCAAAGTCATTATGAACATCCCACAGCCCATCTTTCATCATGCCATCGACAATAGTATCATGTCCTAATCGAGACCCTTTTCTATTTAGGAAGGGACAGACCCAAGAGGAGGAAGATGAACAAACAAACAAACACGATTTCGGAAAATATTCAGCAAGAAATCAGATCTGATACACAAACAAACACACACGATTTCAGACAATACAGGAACAACTAACCGTTCTTTTGCTTGGAGGCCTTGTTTGCTCGACTATGACGTTAGGTTTGTTGCGGCGGCGTTGGGTGGTGAAGACGTCCTTAGGTGCCTGCAATCGATGGGTGAGTTGGGTGAGGAGGGTAAGTTCAATATTTGGTGGCGCATCCTTCATTGCTGACCGGACAAAGCAAATAGAGATTAATTTTTGTATTTTTCCCTTTTTGGTGGATAAGCGTAACCGAGAACACAGCTACTGCTTAAGGAAAGAGATGCCGACAGAATCACTGATGAGGATATCACGCATGCCTTGCGGAGGAGAAGACCAGACCTGGAGAGAAATGACACCTGAAGACCTCATCTTAGCAGCTAGGATATCAGCTCCCGGTTGCTCTCTCTCAAAACGGGTGGGTTGAAAGGCAGTACTCCGATCACATTTGCAAATATGCTGGATATCTATAACAATATTATAAGCTGAATGAATCTGTAGAACAGCCATGAGAATCGCTCTAATTGCTTCATGAGAATTAGTTTCCATAATCACTTGAAAACCAGAATCCCAAGCCAGAAGGAGGCCTTGTTTAATAGCGACCAGTTCATCCACTATTATATTAGTGTGACGAAGATAACCAGAAAGACCAAGACGCCATGCACCAGCATCATCAGGGAACAACCGACCCCGACCGATAGCAGTGCGAGAACTCGTTTAATAGGATTTTTTTAGGAATAGCCAGCTGCATGAATCTTCACACCCCTACTGTTCCACATGTGCCAAATTCCCCATTACACTTCCATAGGAATGAAAATCCCAATTACCTGCCCCACGGCAATTCCATGCTATAATATTTAACTTATTAATCATAAAATTATGACAACAAAGAAGAACAAAATAACTTCACGAAGTCAATTGCCATGAGATTGCATAACCCGTTTCTCCAATTCACCAGGAAAATAATCTTGAACGCTAGAATCACTATCCATTGACCTCGCCTCCGACTCATTAACATTGCCAACTGGCATAGGAGTTACCTGCTGATGACCATTAGATCCTCGGTCTGGCGGAATCCATCTTCTTGCCTGAAGTTGAGGGAGAAGGTTGGGCAGTACCTGAGGTAGAAAAGGAAAACAGAGGTGTCGTGAAGTGGGTATTTGATTGAGATATCAGCTGTTGGAGGCGTGATTTTTCTTTGTCTATGAATTAATTGAAAACTACTAAATTAATTGACGAAATTACAGCGAAAAGAACAATTAATTGACGGAATTAATTAAAAATGAAAATGAGAATGGTGTTAGGATGACTAAATTTGTAACAGAGAGTCCAGAGTGAAAAGAAAAAATAAGTCCAAAAAAGTTATTTTGTCTTTCTAGTTATCTGTCATGTCCTTGATTGACATAAATTTGGACGGAGATCGTTGATTGAAAATTTTTATAAAATTAATGTACTAAAACAAAAATAAAATAAAAATTAATATATTTAATAGAAAAAACTTAAAGTTGATATACTTAAAATATAATTATCCTAAATAAAAATATAAATTTAATAAATAATATATCAAATTAAGAATGAATTATTTATCACACAACTTAAATCTTTTAAATAGTAACTTAATAGATTAAGTCATTACGTCACTAAATATCAATATTTTCCATAAAAAATAAAAATAAAAAAACTACTTCGAAGTATCATCATGACATGGAATATTATTTTACTTTTTCTTTCCTTCACTCCACATCCATTGCATCTGCCATATAATATGTGGCAACTGGGTCATCAAATTAAAGTTAACTCGTAGCCATAAGATTAAACATTTCTTTATTTCACTTCCATTTTTTATTACATCTGACCACAGCAACAGGCAGGAACAAAACACAGACTAGTGTGTTTTGTCCTTTTAGAAGGGAAAAAAAAGAAAAAGAAAAAGAAAAAAGATGCACAAAGCAATACATGGGGCATGGACCTCATCAAGTCATCAACTATGTCCTCAGTCCCCTGCTCTGGTTTCCAGGCATCTCCAATGGGAAATGAGGAGATCCCCAAGGGCAGAAGACAACCTCATAGTTAGTCCCACCAGGGCATGTAAATGTGCTTGAAGGATCATCCTGGGGATAACTAGAAGAAGTAGGACATCTCTCTTAAAAATAGGTTTAAGCGATGGTATTTTAATGATGGATTCGAAAATGTTAGCTAAAACCATTAAATAGTGATGATTTTTATAAAACCATCACTAATATCTTTTAAAAAATGTGTTTTCAACGATAATTTACAAAACATCACTACTCTGATTATATATGATTATTTTTAACAATAGTTTTACATAAATCATTGTTAAATAGGATAATGACTTTGGAATTAGCAAAGGTTTATTTAAACCGTCGATAATTTTTTTAAAAAAATATATAATCATCATTTAAATTGTTAGGACCACCAGGAGTCCTAAATTTATTAGGACATTGAAAATTGGTAGGACCTGAGCTCCTTTGCCCATTAGTGCAACAATATTGATTAGTCTTAAACACAGAAAAAGGGTTATTACACCCACCAGGAGTCCTCAATTCAGTAGGACATTGGCCATTGACATCTGCTGCGCAAACAAGTGCTTGACACTTCCCTCCACCACCTGATGTTGGGCTAAACTCCATAAGTATATTGTTTAGAAGTATAACCATTTAACATAACACTTATTTGTAATCATCATTTAAATATTCAATTTTTATTCCTTTTTTTTTTAACAAAATCCAATAATAAATATATTTAGATAATGTTTAGCTGACGCACTTATTTACTTAGGCCCAATACTAATTGACTTTTTTTTTCTTATCAAGTCCTCATAATCATAATTTTAAATTGTAAACGATTGAAAAAACAGTTATAGTTATTATATTGCATATCGTAACTTATTGAAATACAAAAATAACAATAATAAAATATTTTAAAATCGTTAAATAATAATTGTTAAATCGTTATATAAACTTATGCTCACAATATTAAGTAAGGATATTATTTATTTAATGACTGCTTGCTTGTTTTTTGTTTGTTCAAGAAATGAGAATTCATTTGAACATAGAATAATTAATTTATGAGGTTAATTACAATACCATTTTATGTCACGCGATTTGTCTGTGGCATTCTGAAGTTTGGAGAAATGCAATCGGATTTGAAATCAATATTGATCCAAACAGAAAGGATGAAAAACTCACTTTTTTTTTTTTTTTTTCGCTCGGCAAGAACTCTTCATGATCTCCCTTTTTCTTTTGTTTTGGGGAGCTGGCGTCCTTCTTATCAAGAGAGAGAGCCAAATATTTGATTTTTATAGTCACACCATGTTGCTTTTTTAGTGTACGTAGGAAAATTTGCCCTCATTTTTTTTATATATACGTAGGTTTTGGATTTTACGTGAAGATAGATTCAACCAATTGAATCACAGGGAGACTTTTGTATGAATTGATTTTGTATTATCACGCATAAAGAGACTCTCTCTTGTACGTGTTATATATATATATATATATATATATATATATATATATATATATATATATATATTTGAGTTAGAAAGATATATATTACAAAACAATAATAAATAATGTACTTGATGGAAGCTATCCGTAAAGTAACAATTCAAGACTAATCTAAACTCTGTCCTAAAGTCTATTAAGGAGAGTTTGATGTGGAGTGAAGTGGTTGTACTTGTTCTTGTTCAGGTATAACCCTTGATGGAGAAAAGGTTGTGACTGCCCAAGAGTGTTGGCTGTGTTGATACAACCCGACAAAATGCTGCAGAAGTTACCTTACTGAAGTCTTCACACTTTTATGACTATGGGACAAAGTGATAATCTTCCGCAGCTAAACCGTCAGGATATTTCAAAGTTTGGTAAAGAGCCTTAGCCAGCCTCGTACTCAAACGAGAGAAAAGTCATGAAGAGGCACCTAGCAAAGCATATTCTCTCTTTTTCCTTTTTTTTTTTTTTTTCCCCTAACAACGAGGGTTTGCTAGGATTAATTTTTACGTATTTTAAATTATTAGTTTTTTTTATTAAATGTGGCTAAGGATATTTTTTAATTCATGGTTTCAAATATTTTAAAAATATTCACCATAACCTAATAGATAAATCAATATTTACTCACTACAATCTATTTTTTTAAGCCTAGGTGGCAAAAAAGTGGTGAAGATAATATGTGCTTTACATATGTTCTAGCTTGGATCCTTAAGCAGATAGATATTAAAGAAATCTACCCTGATATTTGATCCCTCTAATAAGATAGCATATTGAAAGAGATATTTTAGCGATTGATCAAATAGAGATGTTTGCGTGGTTTTAGATGATTCCACTAGACTCAGTTCTCCTTTGGATGAAAACATATATTAATTTCTGGTGGACTGGTCGGTCTAAGTAGTAGCTAATATATTTTGATATTATTGGTTATTTTAGGGCAAAAATTATCATATTTTATATTTTTATTAACAATTTATATAATTTGAATCCTAAAATATCATTTTTTTGATAAATTTTATCAAAAATTTAATTTCTTCATTATTTATAATGGTCAACTCAATTGACCGTTAATTTCTTCTCTCGCTATGAATTTTTTTCGCTACTAATTTTTTTTTAAAACTATTAAAAAATATTTTTCTCTATTTTACAAAAGAGATTCTTTCTATTTAAATTTTTTACATATTAATCCCTTTAATTTTTCATAGTCAATCAAATTGTTATTTGTATATAATTTCTTTCAATTTTAGAAAACAACTTTTATGTAGTATCATTATCAATTAAAATAATCAAATTCTATAATTAATAAAATATAAATATTTATTTGTTGAATTTGATCAATTGAAATTATCAAATAATTAATTTTAATTGAAACTTTTCTTTTGTCATGTCAATAAATTTATTTTTGCAATTGTCAATCATTCAAATTTAAATAGAGCTGATTTTTATTTAATATTTTTTTATCTTCACATGTTTTGTAAGATTTTGTATTCTCACAATTAATTCAAATCTATAATATGACTTTAAAACTCGTTAGAGTTATAAAACTATTTTTTAAACTTTGCTAATTTTAATTATTATTATTTTTTTACGGATAGATTCAAAAAGTGAAAGCTATTTTTCAGGAAAAGAACCAAAAAAAAAGTATAGTAATAAATTTAATGAATTTTTATTTATATATAGATAAACGGGTGAAAAGGAAAATCTCTCTTGAAAAATGGAGGAAAAGAAGTTTTAAGGTTTTTTTTTTTAAATAACAGCAATAAAAAGAAAAAAATTAATGATTGAAAAAAAATTAACGATCAAGCTGGATTGGTCATTACAAATAACAAAAAAATTGAAATTTTGATCAGATTTGTAGAAAAATCGATACTTTGGAGTTCAAATTATGCAAATTGATAATAAAAGCTTAAAATTACCAAATTACAATAGAACAAAGTAATTTTTGCCTTTAAACCAAGGGAATACAAAGGGAAACAAAGACTCCGTAAAATATATTGAGAGGGTTTGAAGGGAGCTCATTTTTGGACTTTGAGTTAAGCAAATCATGCCAAGAATTTTAAACAGAAGAAGAAGAAGAAGAAATTATTGAAAAAATTAAAAACACGTAAGAATTTTTTTTTTTTTTAATGTGATCAATTTGTTTTAAATTAATAAATTAACATTATATGTTATCATATACTAATGGTAATGGATATCTATCCAACTAATTTAGCCAATTTTATATTCTATTTATTTTTTTTAAATCACTCTTCGTCGAGAGGATTGACTTGAACGAAAGAAATTCTAGTTGTTTAAGTAAGTGGTCTCGGTGTCAAGTCTTTGTGTAAGCAAAAATTTTTTTAGGTAGTAGTACTGCCTTGTTCGCTCGATTGAATAACGAGAAATTAGTCCGGACTTCTAAACATGTGATATCCTAAAGATAAAAAAAAAAAAAAAATCACTCTTCCAAATTTGGTATTTTTTTTAGAATTTGTAAAAATTCATAAAATTAGAAATTCTATTATAAAAGAAATAGTGATAATAGTAGAATTGAAGAGAAAGATGATAGGGAAATGAATTCACTATAAAATAACATAAATACAAGAGATAACAATTCCAAATAATCTCTTAATCTCTACAAAATACTTGTACACAAACTAATGAACAATCAAGCCTATTTATAGGCTTTAAGATTAAAAAGAAAATTGAAAGGGACTATGAACCATTAAAAGATGCATAAGTAATTGAATAAATTGCATCATCCTTTTAATTTGTCATATTGAATTATGAATTAAATCATGTGATTAGTGAGAATTTGAAATGAACATAAACATTCGTTATTTCATAACAAATCCAAGTAAAAAAAAAAAAAACTCAGAAATACCATAGGAAAATACCTTAGATTTTTTATTTTACCCCTGGGTTCAAAGTGAAAGCGACTCTAATCATGCATGGCTTAGTCTCTAAGCATTTACTGATACTTTTCAAGATCTTTAATTATCTTGTGTTGGTGTTAATAAATGCAAGTGTGATATTTCTTGAGTTAGTTAGATATAGTTTAGTGGTGGCCAATTAATCATATTAGCTTATTGAAATCAAAAGATGGAGACTAGAGCTAAGTATGGATAAGAGCAAAAGAAAAAAAGAAAAAAGAAAAATGAAAAGAGGCAGTCATATTCATTTCCAATTTTGCTTCTGATCAGTGACATGGATTTTCTGATTATTTGTCATTTTAAGAGTTTTAATCTCAAGCTTAAGGGTCTGGCAAACTAACATTTTTAGAGCCTTTATTTATTGGAGGTTTTTAGGCATTTAAATTATATAATGAGAGATACCCCTCTTCCAACACTCAATCTTGTTTCGTTAACTACACACTCCACTAAACTAAATCTGTTTGTGTGAGCACGAGCACTTTATCATCTACAATTAATCGATAGGAAGATGGAGTACTATCTTAATTAGTTTTCTTTTACCGAGTCATCATGCTTTTATGCCAATGGGAACAAAGCAATAAAAACTTTATGATATTTCATAAAAATAATAAATAACCTTTCACAAATCAAATAAATAAAAATATAAATTTAATAAATATATCAAATTGAGAATAAATTATTTATTACGTAACTTAAATCTTTTAAATAAAATTTAATCTCGAATATCTAACTCCATAGATCAAGTTATTACATCACTTAATATCAATATTTTCTATAAAAATAAAAGCTACTAACACGCTCTAGGCAAAAACTCTTCATGATCCCCCTTTTCTTTTGTTAAGGGGAGCTGGCGTCCTTCTTATCAAGAGAGAGAGCCAAATATTTGATTTTTATAGTCACATCATGTTGCTTTTTTAGTGTACACTAGATTTTTTATCTCGCGTTACGCTACGGATTGGATAAAATATATAAAATCATATAAAAAAATTATTTCAGTTTAATAATTTGTTTTATGATAAAAAATAATTATAATTTTTAAATGAAAAAAATTTATATTTAACTATTTCTTATTTGTGTTTTTCAATTTTAGAAATAAATAATAAAGCAAATAAATTATTAATTTCTTTAAAATTTTAACACCCAATTAATTGTTGGTTCTTTTAAAATTTTAACACTCGATATTATTAAGAAATTAAAATTAAAAAAAATCAATGTTTAGGGAAAAAAAAAAGGAGGCCAGTAGTTTCGTTGTTCATGTGAATAGTAAACGGACGGAAATTAAAAAAAAATAATGTTTAGAGAAAAAAAAAAAAGAGGGCAAGCCGTTTACCATCTAAATGAACAATAAACGGGTAAAAAAAAAGAGGGGGAAAGGCCAGCGGTGCTGGCAAAAAAAAAAATGAAAACTTAAAAAACAAAAAAAGCCAAAGTAATATAGCAATGAATAGTGAATAGTGAAAAATAGTTTTTCTTTAGTATATAGTATTAGATTTTTTACTTGCTCTATCGTCATGGATTGGATAAAATATATAAAATCGTTTAGAAAAATTATTTCAATTTAATAATCTGTTTTATGTTAAAAAATAATTATAATTTTTTAATAAAAAATTTATATTTAACTATTTCTTATTTTTTAAAAAAATTTAAAAATAAATAATAAAGAAAATAAATTGTTGGTTTCTTTAAAATTTTAACATCCAATTAATTGTTGGTTCTTTTAAAATTTTAACACCAAATACTATTAAGAAATAGAAATTTAAAAAACATTCAATGTTTAGGAAAAAAAAAAAAGCAAGCTGTTACTGTTGATGTGAACAGTAATGGGTGGAAATTTTTTTTAAAATTAAATGTTAAAAAAAAAAAGAGGGCAGGCGTTTACTGTTCAAATGAACAGTAAACGGATTGTTTGGGGGGGGTTATAGTAAAAAAAAATTAATGAAAATAAAAAAAGTAACAAAAAAGTGTAACAATAAACAGTGATTTACACTCTTCATGCTACAGAAAAATTTACAGTGATTTTCATGCTACAGTGATTTGCAGTGATTTTACTTTAGTATATAGGATAATAGAAAAATTTGTCTTCGTGTTTCTTTTTTTAAATAGGTTTTGGATTTTACGTGAAGATAGATTCAACCCGACAAAATGCTACAGAAAAGTCAACACACTTTTATTACGATGGGACAAAGTAATAATCTTCCACAACTAAAACTTTAAGATATTTCAAAGTTTGGTAAAGAGCCTTAGCTAGCCACGTACCCAAAAGATCAGAGAAAAGTCATTAAAAGGCACCTAGCTAAGGATATATATATATATTTAAAGAATGAGAGTGTATTCGGATTAATTTTCATGCATTTTAAGATTTTTTTTTTAACACAATTAAGAAGCATTTTCTAACTCAACTTATGATTTCAAGTATTTTTTTTAAAAAAATTCTAAAAATATTAATTATAAGAATCGAATTTTGAATCTAGAATATAAATTTTAACTTATCTATTTAAATAGATTTTGACTGAATTTAAATTTTTAATATGAAATTATTTAGATTATTAAACAAACTTTTTATATTAATTACCATAACTTAATTTTTTAAGTGTTTCCATGTTGCTTTTTTATTAATTGCTTTTTCTTTCTATTTTTTTTAGAGAATGAAAAAGATTTATATAAGAAAACTTATTTCACATTAAATAAATAAAATAATATATAAAGTTAAAAATGTATCATGTACTAATTATTACAAAGTTTAATTTTTTAAATAAAATTCAATTTCAGTTATCTAATGATATCAAAATCTCAAATAGATCTAATAATTCAGTAAAAATTTTAAAATTCATGTCACTTGACATATTTTGAAAAATAAATTATAAAAGGAAAAACTATTAAAATACCTACAACATATATCGAATAAAAAAATAAAAAAATATATAAAATCGAGAATAAATCACCTCTCATAAAATGTAACCTCAAATACGTAACTTTTCCGTTACATAATACAAGATCAATGTTTTATAAAAAATAAAAATAAAAAAACTTCTATCACACTCTAGGCAATTATGGAAGTTTCATCATGACATGAAGCATCACTTGACTTTTCCGTTCCTTCAGTATTCATGCATTGCCATATAATATGTAGCAACTCGGTCATCAAATTAAAGTAAACTGATCATAGCCAAGTGATTAAACATTAATTCTTTATTTCACTTCCATTTTTATTACATCTCAGCACAGTAACAGGCAGGAACAAAACACAGACTAGTGTGCTTTATCCTTTCACGAGAAAAGAACAAACAGAAGAAGATGCGCAAAGCAATACATAGGGCATGGACCTCATCAAGTCTTCAACTCTGTCCTCAGTCCCCTACTTTGCCCTCTGGTTTGCAGGCATCTCCAAGGGAAAATGAGGAGACCCCAAAGGGCAGAAGACAACCTCGTAGTTAGTCCCACCAGGGCAGGAAATTGTGCTGGCAGGACCATCTTGGGGATAACTATAAGCAGTAGGGCATCTATCCTTAAAAAACCTTGAATATTTGGTAGGATTACAGCTCCCTGGCCCACCAGTGCAACAATATTCATCGGTCTGAAACACAGTACAAGGGTTATTACACCCACCAGGAGTCCTCAGTTCATCAGGACATTCGCCATTGATGTCTGCTGCGCAAACAAGTGCTTGACAACTTCCTCCACCGCCTGATGCTGGGCCAAACTCCATAGGGATATTGAAGCCATCAATGAGTGATATGTCATAGAAATCCAAGTTATCAAATTGGTTCAACGCATATTCAGCTAGAGTGTTAGGAGGGACACCCCAACATTGGCACACTAGGCCACCGGTGCAATCCCCAGTTTGGCAACTACCACTACCGCTACTATCAAAGTTACAGTTTGTCCTGCCCCAGATACGACCCGTGGATGTGCCAGCTGGCACGTCAAGCATCCAAGTTTGGCCGCTGTCTAGGCGGCGTCCACCACCAGGCGAGGCTGCAGCCCACACTGTGTACTGGCAATTGTTGCGGATTTCAAAGGTGGCTGCATTAGCAGGAATGAAGAGAAGGCCAAGGAGGAGGCAGGAGGTGAAAAGTTTGGTTGAGTAGCCCATGATTTGAGTAGTTGACAGCTAGCTTGTGTTAATTAGTGGTTGAATTCACGGCGTAATTATGGTCTATATACAGGGGAGGCACGGCTTTTGGATTCCTATCCATTATGGGCAAGTGTCCATTTTTTGGTTAAAAGTAAAGGGCGCTAGTGTACAGTTTCTTAATTTAGTTAAAAGTAAAGGCTAGATTCTTCGATGAACTAAAGCTAAATTAAATTTTTTATTTTTGAATGTGAAATCATATTAAAAGGATTGTCCATTCCTTTATCAAAAAAATACTTCTGTTAAAACGTCCGATTCATTTTGAATCTCAACACAATCAGTATATAAGAGAACATACTGATTATTAAATGATGATTTTTGATAACAACAATCCTTATCAAATAAGAAACATCGTCACAAAATTTTATTTTTTTGATTAAACGACAATCTCTATAAGATAAAAGATTTTATAAAGAATTTTTATTAATTTTATTTTTTGATCAAATGACAATCCCTATTAGACAAGAGATTTCGTTAAAAATTTTAATCATTTATTATTATTTTATTATTATTTGTCGATAAAAGATTATCATCAATCCTAAAAAATTAGGAGATGAATTTAAATTTAAAATTGTATTAATTAAATAAACTAAAAGAAATTCAAACATTAAATTTAAATTAAACATAAAATGAAAAAAAATGCATAAAATAAAATTAAGAATTAATCTAGACAAAACAAAACTAGGCCTTATGCTTTTTTTTTATTCATAAATCGGTCTTCAGCTCATTGGGCCTGAGCTGGGCTGACCTGCTGGACAGGCCAGCCTTTATTTTTTGGGCTAAATCAGCCCAGCCTTGGACATACGGGGCTGAACAAGTCCAGCCTTCCCTCACGGGCTGGATAAGTCCAGCCCCTTTCCATTCATTTTTCTTAACAAAGAAAAATGCATCAATTCCAGTGACCTCCGGCCCTTTTCCATTTTATTTTTAACAAACGCAAACCATTGAGACGTTTCTTAAACCAAACAATTCAACAAATTCATTTTTCTTAACAAAGAAAAATACATCAATTCCAGTGACCTCCGGCCCTTTTCCATTTTATTTTTAACAAACGCAAACCATTGAGACGTTTCTTAAACCAAACAATTCAACAAAATTAAAAGATTATACCTTCCCTCCTCTCCTCATTCTCTGCTTCTTTCGTTTCTTTTGAAACTAACAAACCCGAATCCATGAGACCTCCTAGTATCTCTATCAGTGAAAACCCATGCATCGGTCACTTACCCAGAGTTAGCGGACACATCCTTGAGAGTTTGATCGTCAGTAGACCATGAAAGCCTTCCGATGAAAAGCGTTGCTGAAGATATGCAGTGAACAGAGTTCAGCACGGGTGTCATTGGAGTTTGCCAATGTTAAGAAATCGACTGCCTCACTAGGCTCCCAATCTTGTTATGGAAAGCCATTTCAATAGTTGATTTTGAAGAAGAAACTGGGAAAAGGGTTTTGGTTTTGAAGAGAATTAAATGAATGAAGCGGCTAGGATTTTAGAGGCGATTAGGTATTTGGAGGCTGTGAAGATGGGTGACGTCAATGGATCGTGGCTTTAGGTGTTGTGCACGCCAGATGTTTGTGTTTTTATCCGTGAGATGTAGAGAGGTCATTTCAGGTGTGGAGAAGAGCGGTTATGGTGGATATGTCGTGTGTTTTTTTTTCGGGTTGGAGTTTGGCGACAGTGAGGGAGACTAAGGTGAAGCTCGGTGGCTATGGTGATCTTTGGGTAATGGAGGAGATGGACCATGGAGCTGGTGTTGTGAAGCTATGGCTGCGAGGCTGGTGGCTATGATATGGGCAGGTAATTGCGGGGTGTGGCCTGGGCTTGCAAGGGGCGCGCTCGAGGCTGTGGCAATATGGGCTGTTGCGTGCAAAGGGGCTGCTGTGAGGGCAGCTTGGGCTAGGAGGAAAGGCTGTTCGATTAGGGGAGTTTGTGGCAGCTAAAAGTGGCTGCAAGGGGGGTGTTTAGAGGCTGCAGGGGCTGCTCAATATGCTGGGGTTTTCTGAGAGAAACTGAGTAGCTGAGAGGGTGAGATGCAGAGAGGAGGGGATTGATGGAGATGATGACAGCTAGGTCTTTTTCCTCTCTACATTTTTTTTTTGTTTGCTAGGGTTTTTTTAGGTTTTAGGAGGACAGGGGAATCGTGGAGGCTCCCTTTTATGGCTGCCTCCTAAACATCCAGAAAATGGTTGTTTTTATAAGAGAACCTTAGGGCTGAGAGGAATGGGTTTTTTTTTTCTTTCCTTTTTTGTATTTTTTTTTTTGAATTTTATATATACTATTTTTTGTATTTTGTGCTCTTTTTTTTTTTCATTTTTTTAGTTTTTTTTTAATAAATTTCAAAATAAAGTAAAATGAGGTAAAATAAATGAGAAATAATTAAAACAACAAAAATATTGGAAAATTTTCGGTTATGACAACAAGGTGGTATTATATTTTTACTACGTACACGTCTTCCCTTCTTCAAGAAATGAAGAAGTTCATGGACAAAATGTAACCCTGTAGTTGGTACCTGCAGGGCAAGTGAAAGTGCTGGTTTGATCATCTTTTGGATAGCTATAAGCATCGGGGCACCTGTCTTTGAAGAACTTGGAGAAACTAGTTGGACCACAACTTCCAGGTCCACCAGTGGTGCAACAATATTGATTGGTCTTAAAAACCATACATGGGTTGTTGCAGCCACCAGTAGCCCGCAACACAATAGGGCACTGACCGTTGATATCGACGGCACACTGGATTCCTCGACAGGCATTGGAGGTTGGACTAAAGTCCAGTGGGATGTTGAACCCATCAACAAGAGAGATATCGAGATAGTCTAAGTTGTTGGGCTGGTTTAATGCAAATTCAGCTATGGTATTTGGTGGAGAGCCTAAGCTTTGGCATTCTAGCCTTCGGTTGCAATCACCTGTTTCACATTGGCCCTGACCATTGGCATCAAAGTTACAATTAGTTCAGCCCCAAATGCGAGCCATGGTGGTGCCAGGTGCGACATTGAGGTTCCATGTTTGGCCAGGGTCCAAACGTCGTCCATCGGGCAAAGCTGCGTTAGCTATGGTGAATAATAGGCAAAGGAGAATTGGAAGGGTGTTGATGCTGCTCATTTTGGTTTTAACAAGCCATACGAGCAATGTTGTATTGGCTTGTATTTCTGTGTTCATAGTGCTCATTACTTGAGGTATTTTATAGATGGTGCTGAATCCTTAATTTCTTTAGCCGTGTGGAAGGGGAATTCTAGCAGAACGACTTCAACAAATTTCCAAAGTTTTTATGGACGAAATTAATAGAGGGAAGAAGAAGAAATGCACTGAGAATTGACTTGAAGACGTCAAATTAATTTGTGGGGGCTCAAGAAGACTCTTCCAAACAATAACAAAATTGAAGGCCACGAAGACATTTTTAACAGACAGGACACTGAATTGAAGCCCTACAATAGTTCTGCCTAGCACATGCAAATGCAAGAAAATCGGGCATTGGTCATTTTCGTCCTAGAGCCTGATGGGGGCAAATATTAAAGAAGAAGTATCATATGGGACATACGAATGCTACTTGTCTTTGCTCCTTTTGCATTCCTACTTGCATAAGGATTAATTTATAATTCACTCTGGTCCATAAGATGAATCTAGAATTCCACGTATGTGAGCAATTCCTGGAGTCAGCAGAGACCCATATGAAAGCAGAATGGAATATTTTGATGCCTGTAATGAATTGAACCAAACAAAAAGATCTCCTGTAATCAATCTTCTCCCAACAATTTCATAAATATGTGATGGACGAGAACACAAAACGATGTGGATCAAACCACTTAGGGCATCTCCAATGGTGCTCTTTACTTTTAACTAGCATTTTTAATGTAAATAGAGAGTATCATTAATTATATAGATAGAAGATCAATATCCTCTCTAATGCTACTCTCTATTTAACTCTTTATTTTGACAAAATTTATAAAACCCATAGAGACTATTGGTGAAGAGGTTGAGTGGCATTGGAAATAGTAATTTTCATTAATAAAATATAAGATAAAGAGTCATTTAGACTCTCTAGTATTGGAGAGCCAAAGACACTCTTTATACTAATTTTAAAGATAAAGATTGTGATAAAGAGAGCATTAGAGATGAAATTTGGATCAAACCTCTTTATTATAAAGAAAAATCTTAATATAAAGAGAACATTGGAGATGTTATTAAACTGAAAACAACAAAAGTAACAGTACAGTTCGAATCTTCCACTCTTGATATGTGATTGACAATTTCGGATAACTGTGACCAAAAAAAAAAAAGGAGGACGGTGGGCAACTATTTATTAACAAGAGAAAGAAAAAGTGACGTCCCTACTTATGGTAACAAAATCAAAATGAAACAAAATTGATTGAAAACATCCGTCATATGCTACAAAACAAATTGCACAACCAGCGAGAGGATAGAGAGCAAGACGTTGGAATATTTCTGGGAGAGGTGGATGTATGGCTTGATGGAGAGGAGAGGGCTTGAATGATGGAAAAATGGGGTTTTGTGGGCTTTTGGGTGAGAAAACTTGCGCAACCAGCCAAAGAGTGGAAAGCAAGTGCTGAAAAATCTTAGGAGAGGTGAATAGTGACTACCCCTCAATTGCCCCCCTCTTTTTTGGTTAATATTTTTTTTTTTACTTTTTTGTTGCTCAATTTTCTTTTTCATTTTTTTTCACTTTCATTTTTTAGTATTTTTCAATAAATAAAAAATAAATAAAAGAAAAACTAATGAGGGTGAAAATTTAGGTGATAACAATAATCATTTACATACTCATCATAAAATCTTTTTTCATACCATAAAATCCTCATCATGAACAGTTTAAATTTTATTTTATTTTATTTTTTTTGTCTTTGGATACGTCCCATTATAGGTACTTTAGGATTTTCATAATATGTCTAGAAAACGAAACCCGTCTGCGGACGTTCTTGTCGAGTCTCCGAAAGTAAATGTTCGCACTCACCCGATCCCGAACTATGAATCATAAAAGTTATGAAAAACCCTTGAAGCTCTCCTCATAAGAACCATGTAACCATAAAATATTTTCAATTGCTATTGAAAAATATTTTGAAATAAAATCCCTTTTTTCATGACTTTAAATCATTTTCATAAACTTTTCCTTAACTTGACTTGCATAAGCATTTTAATGTCAATGCATAATAATTAAAATTTCATGTAATGCATGCCATGAATGTGTGCATTTATGTCCTAAAAATGGATAATTCAATATTATAAATATACCATGATTTTCATACCTTAAATTGCCATTTCAATTCAATCAAAGTCGTGGAGCAATTAAATCAACCATTACACAAGCATACAATAACATCATTATTCAACACAAGGCATGAATCGTCAATCATCCAATTTATACATAGAACTCACTAGATTTTTTGCCCGCGTAACGCTACGGATTGGATAAAATATATAAAATTATTTAGAAAAATTATTTCAATTTAATAGTCTGTTTTATTATGTGAATCTATAAAAATACATGAAATCAAAGATGAAAAAATTATTTATAATTTTTTAATAAAAATTTTTATATCTAACTATTTCTTATTTGTGTTTTTCATAATTTTTCCTTTAGAAAAATGATTTATCCTTATTAATCTATGGATTATTAACTAAAAAAAAATTAAATAATTTTTTAATTTTTTTTTTAGTATTTCATAAGATTGTGTTGAAAAAAAATTATTAAAAGCTTATATAGAATTGAAGAAATAATTTTTTTTATTTAATGTTGATGAGAATAACAATTTTTGAAAAAAAATGTGAATTTAATTTTTATATATTTATTTACAAAAGAATGAATAATATCAAAATAAATCAAAACTATTAGTAAATATAATTTTAAATTAATTGGATGAGAATTTATAAAAAAAATAAATTAAAGTAATAAATTTTAAATAATAAAAATAATTAACAAAAAAAAATTAAAACAAAATGGAACTAAATTACAATACAATTAAAGTTTGAAATTTTATATATATATATATATATATATATATATATATATATATATAGAGAGAGAGAGAGAGAGAGAGAGAGAGAGAGAGAGAGAGAGAGAGAGAGAGAGTTGAGGACCATATAATTTTATTGGATGAGAATTTTTTTTAAAAAAAGACAAATTAAAGTAGTAAATTTTAAATAATAAAAATAATTAAAAAAAATACTAAAATAAAATGGGATCAAATCACAATACAATTAAAGTTTGAACTTGAAAAAAGAAGTATAGAAGAATCGAGGACCAAAGTGTTACAAAAGTATCATGAATAGTGAAATGAATAATGATTTGTGTGTATGTGAATAATGATTTGTGAGTGTGTAAATAGTATTGTGAATAGTAAAATATCATTTTGCTTTAGTTTTTTTTTCATAATATTTTCACATTCAATTGTTCACACATAAGCCAAATAGTAACCAAGTATGTAAAGCTAACCAAAAACCTTAACTTTTCTAATATGGCAAAATGTGCCTTAAACTCGAGGTAAGTGATTTTCTTCTAATTCTAATACTAATTTCTTACATTAATTCATTTGAGTACACTATCACATTAAGAACTTAATTAACTAAGCATTCACAAGTTAAATAGATGTATAAATCCTAAATTGAGTTTGATGGGCCGAAAACCTACTTAGGATAATCTAAGTTAACTTTTCAATTTTAATACAATTGCTCTTTTTAATTCATCTTTTTACATTATTTTAACTTTAAATTAACCAATTAAATCATTAATAATCAAATGAAATCAAACCCTAATTTTCTCCTAGATTGGGCTTAATGTGGACCTAGAGAAACTAGGTTAAATTTTCTACTTTTATGTTGTTTTTCACATTCAATCATCAATTCATGCTTGGATAACACATAATAAATCACTAAATCATCAAACAAACCAAAGCATAAAAAATCCTCAAATTACTTCATTTGGACAAATGCTTTCTCTCTATTAATCTTAGGAATTTTTTATTTTTTTCATCAATTTCAAGCCCAGTTAATATGTTTTAAGCTCAATTGCTTGATTTTCTACCTAAAATCATTTCCCTCGAATTTACCTAACTAAGAAGCCTAATATTAATTTTCAAAATTAAAGCAATTAAACACAAAATTAGGGCTCCAAAAGCACAATTAACATAAAATCATGCTTCCTTATAGTGTATTGAGATTAACTTATCTAACTACGCTCCAATTTATCCTTGAAAAGTAGAATTTCTTTGCAATTTCTTCCTCCCTCTTTTTACTATATAATTCGGCCAAGCACCAAGTTTTTCTTCCTTGGAATCCTTTCTAGCTTGATTTCTATGATTGATTAGGTGATTTTAGGTGTTTAGGATAAAATTTGGGTAAAGGTTTATGGAAAATTTACGTAAGTTTTCCATTATTTTTTCAATTTTTCAACATTTTTCATTTTTCCTACCTTCCATATTTATAGGAAAAATTAGTTGGACTTCTTTTCTTGGTTGATTCCATCTCAACCCTTCATTTGATTTAATCTTGGCCCTTAATTCTCATTGTAACCTTAGCTTTTCAATTAGTTTTTTCCTATCAATCCATCCTTTCTTTGATTTTCATCCTTCCATATAACCATTCTCTTTAAATCCTCTCCTTCCATTTATGCATGCATTAATCACATCCAAATAATTAGGATGAAAGTGGTGGGAAAAAGAGAAGAAATCTCTCCCAAAAATTGCTTAATTTTAGTCCTTTAATTTGTTAATATTTTCTTTAATTACTCATCCATGAGTCTTTCAATTATTCAAGTAATTACTTTAGGCCCTTCCTTTAATGGTTTGCTAACAATTTTTTAATTTGAAAGT